GGGGGTTCACCATGCTTGTGTGGTGCTGACTCAACTTGAAGGGCTAAAGTATAGGCCAGATTATTAACCAAATAACTGATTGAGCCTGAACAGATATTGGGATTTGTTGATGCAAATTGCAGAGGAAATGTGAAGGAATTTTAACCTATCCAGAGTAAGGAAGGTCATGGTGACCGGCCTCCTCGTTCAGTCAATATTTTGATCATTCTCTGAAAAAACACAAATAAGGGTCATATATTTGCTTCTGAATTATTCAAGATATTCGTTGTCTCCCTATAGCCATACACTAGCTTAGTTAACTAACTTGTTCCGATTGTTTCACATTGCTTCCATTTTATGGAAAAGGGTGAGAAGTGCTTTACACTTTTTTCTCCTTAGTTTATTTGCATTATTATTAAACATTCGAATTTGCCTGCATTGCATAGAGCAAAACAGTGACAAAATACGGCTTGATAAAAGTTTCGAACATCTTACTCATATTTCGGTGTCTTCTTTGTTGCTCCAAGGAGTGGAATGCAGAAGTTGTTTTGGGATATAGCTCATTAAAATATTTTGTCCTGTTTACTCACTAGCGTTGACGCCCTTACCTCCGGAAATAACCCACATTCCTCCATGTTTATTCATCAAGCTGCTTAAGTATACTAATTTCAATTAATTCGTCTAAATTTTACCTGACTTGTTTTCAGCTTTCGAAATTATTTCATAATTATTTCAACAAGTCCTTGATAAGATGCGAAAGGTCGCCTGACTTTTTTTTATTTTTTTTCATTGTTTGCGTGGTGTGGACTTCTAGATTCGGAAAATGTCAGACAGTCTAAACATAATCCTTTATATCAAGACGGACCCTCTTCAGAATGGTGACTAACACTTTTGGAGGACGGCAACAATGCCGAAGTGCGGAAGAAAAGGGCCTGAAATTTGAAACCGTCGCCTACTTTGTTGCAGTTTCCCCTTCGGGTGTGCTCATCATATTTGCCAAGGTGGATCACATCCAGTGCAAATAAGCACCCTGCCACCCAATTGTCAATCTCCCTACTACTGTGTGTTTGCCTTTGACACTATTCATCGGGTAGGTTCCTTTCTTGAGGGTGCAACAGGGCGGGAGGTGCAGTCAGTTCATGTCGAAGTGTGTGTGCATGCGTCGCTCTTTTTACAAGTGCAGCAACTCCTCCAGCATAGTAGGCGCCGTCAGCATCCTGGTCTGCATGGTGCCTGCAGCCATAGTCAATGCCTTCCTCTACCTCACCGCCTGCATGTCCTCCCTCGTAGTTCTCTCTCGGTACCCTGTCATTTAGGCAGTTTTGACATCTTCACTGCCAGTGATCACTAAGTTGGATCGAGGAAGTAATTTGAATGACCAGGATTCACTTTCATGATTTTAAATTGGCACTCATTCCTAGCTTTTAGAATGCTCTGCGTAGTTGGATAATTTTTATTGGGTTTGGCACAAAAGCAACCACTTTTTGGAATTTAATTGTTTAAAGTTTGATAGACGCACTTTTATGTCTAAATTAAGGCTGGATTACCTCATTGTCTCGAGTTCA